GATAAATATTTAATTTAATTTGTTATATTATTAAAAAAATATAAAAAATATCACTTAATTTTTTATATCATTAAAAGATATTTTTTTATTAGTGATGTGGGACCCATTTGAATAGATTTGGTGCCATGTCAACCAAAGGCAAATTTCTTTATTAATGATGTGGGACCCATTTGAATAGATTTGGCACATAGTAACATGACATATTAAAATATTTGTCCATGTCATCACTTTTCTCAATTTTGCTCTCCACATCATCAAAAAAAAATATAAAAAATGCCACATAAGTGAAGTTAACTACTCAAATTAACAAAAGGACTAACGGACTGCATTTGTTATAGTTGAGGGATAAAAAAAGTGCAAAAAATTATTGAAGGATAAAAAATGTGCATTTCTTAAAGTTGAGGGACCAAATTTAGCATTTAACCTAAACTTAAATTTCTATGTAACTAGGAAATTTTGCAGAATATAATGTATATTTATCTATTTAAATTCACATAGAGATATAGTAAGTTAATAAGTGAAAATAGGTTTGGTATAACTTGAAAAAATTATTGAATAGGATAGGGAATGCTGTTGTCATATGAGTAATAAATACCTTAGAGTATAGTAATCTAAATTCAATATTGATTGATTATGGTGAAATTGTATGCCTTAGAATTTTAACTCTTGGTGTTATTTAAAGTCGATTTAGTTTTTCTTTAATTGGTTTAATTAAATAGTTTATTCAAATAATTTAATTACAATTGTTTAAATAAAATTAGAATTACCTAATGTTAGTAATTAATTAGTTTATAGTCTTTATGGGATGATACTTGATTTTCATCATTATATTACTTGAATAGACTAGTACATTTGCTAAAGTGAAATTAGCTTATCAAGTTTTTAGCGTCGTTGCCGAGGATTGTATTGATTCTAATTAATATCAAAGTAGATTAATTTAAGTTTTAATTTGATTTTTTTAATTTATTTTATGAGTGTGCAAGTTAGTGCATGACTTGTTTTGAAAACACAGAACTTGCACCATTTGATCTTGAGATAGATTGAATTTTTCACCTTTTGAACAAAAAGAAGAAAGCTTTAGTTGTTAATCAACCTTATAAGATGGCAGAAAAGGTTGTTGAAAGAACCTTGAGATCACCTTCGATGGATGGTGTGGCCTCATGTATAAGAAAACCAGAAACATCAGCTAACAACTTTGAAATCAAGCCAACTTACTTTTAGATGATTCAACAATCAGTTCAATTTAGTGGATTGTCGAATGAAGATCCAAATGAACATCTTACCATATTTTTAGAAATATGTGACACATTCAGGTATAATGGAGTCTTAGAAGATGCAAAAAGATTGAGACTTTTCTCTCTCTTTGAGTGATAAGGCAAAACATTGGTTTTACTTTTTACCTTTGGACACAATTACTACTTGGGATGAGATGACAAGTAGATTTCTTGGTAAGTACTTTTCTCCTTCTAAAATTGCCAAGATGTGTAACGATATTATTACTTTTATGTAGTTTGACATGGAGTCATTATGTGAGGCATGGGAGAGATACAAAGAGTTACTTAAGAAGTGTCCACATCATGATCTACCTATATAGTTATAGGTACACACTTTTTATAATGATTTATTTCCAAGTACTTGTACCATGATTGAGGCAGTTATAGGTGGATTATTAATGAGTAAAATTCTAAGGAAGCTTATAATTTAATAGAGGAGATGGCTTCAAATAATTACCAATGGAATTATGAAAGAACACCAATCAAAAGAAGTGCTAGAATACATCAAGTCAACACTTTCAAAGTCCTAACTACTCAAGTGGAGGCTTTCCATAAGAAATTTGATAAATTAATGTTTCTACTATGCATGTCTAGAATGTCACTTGTGATTAATGTGGAGGACGACATGCATGTATTGAATGTCATGTAAGTAATTCTTTTACTAAATCATATCAAAATGCTAACTTTGTTGATAATTTTCAGAGGCAACAAAATAATCCCTACTCCAACACTTACAATCCTAGTTGAAAAAATCATCCAAATTTGTCATGGAGTAACAATCAGAATGTAGCAAAGCAACCTCTAGGATTTCAATAACCACCTGAGAAAAAGTCAGATTTGGAGGACATGTTGAAAAAGTATATACTTGTTAATGAATCAAGGTTTGAAAATCTAGAAACAGCTATTAAGAGCTTGGAAGCAGTTATTCAAAACCAAGGTGCTTCAATGAAGAATTTAGAGGTTCAAATGGGTTAGTTGGCAAATGTAATTTTCAAAAGAAACCAAGGAGCTCTACTTAGCAATACAAAGAAATCCTAAAGAACAGGTAAATGCCGTAACTTTAAGAAGTGGGAAACAAATTTGAAGAGAGCAAGACATGATAAGTGAATTAAAAGAGAAAAAGGAAGAATATGTTGAGAAAAAAAAGAAAAGAAAAGAAAAGAAGTTCAAGAACCACGTAAGCCCAAAGAAATCAAGCCATATGTGCCTCCTCTTCCTTTTCTTCAGAGATGGAAGCAACAGCAATACAATAAGGAATTTGGTAAATTTTTTGATATGCTTAAGAGATTGCACATTAATATTCCTTTTGTAGATGCAATAGCTCAAATGCCAAGTTATGCAAATTCTCGAAGAGTATATTGATAAATAAGAGAAAATTGGAAGGCTCTACAATAGCGACTTTAAATAAGGAATGTTAAGCAATTTTATAAAACAAGTTTCCTCCTAAATTAAAAGATCTAAGGAGTTTCACCATTCCTTGCACTATTGGAGATCATCATTTTGATAAAGTTTTATGTGACTTGGAAACAAGTATTAAGTTAGTGCCTTTTTTTGTTTTCAAAAAATTAGGACTTGGAGAACCAAAAGCAACTAATGTATTCCTTCAATTAGCAAACAGATTTATCAAGTGTCCAAGGGGTATAGTTGAAGATGTTCTAGTAAAAGTGGATAAATTTATATTTCCTGTTGATTCAATAGTGTTGGATAAGGACAGAGACTACTAGGTCCCTCTTATTTTAGGCCGTCATTTTCTTACAACTAGCAAGTTGTTAATAGATGTTCAAGAAGGAAAACTTATTTGGAAGCATCTCCCCCAAGCTTGATTTCTTTTACTTGAATTTCTTTTTCTCTTATTGTTCTAGGTTAGTGCTCATGTTTGGGGGAAATTCAAGTCTCATGAATATTGAAGGCACATTAACTACAAACTTTAACTTCA